ATTGAAAAATATATTTTCCCTCGGAATCATTTACCTTCAAGTTATTTGAGAAAAAAGGTGATTTTTCCAACAATATCACCCCCATCCATATAAGAAAAATGGATTATTTTTTACTACAGCCTAACCTGTAGTCTAATAGGAAATACAACGAAAATAATTTAAATACTATTCTGTTGTTGCGTAGAAACCCTTCCTCATAGAAATTAAAATAAATCGATCGTTAATTGAAATATCCTGGATTTGTATAAATATGCATTTCTTATAATTTTCTTGCACCTTGTAAACATATTTGTTTTAATATGTACGTCTATAGAGTTGATAAGCTTATCTCAAGGTTTATATTCACTAAAACATCTAAATTGAATCAACATTTTTACTTGCAAAATGTAAATTTGATTTAATGCTATTGACGTGTTATTCCAGAAACTGAGATTCGACACAAACATGAAACGATTTTTCATGCTCGTAACTTTTAACCAGGTGAACCGATTAATACGAACTAAGTAAAGGTTGAAAGCTAAAAGTGAACCGCAGCTAATGCGATACGGATTAACTTTGTTTCTTTAAAAGTGTGAACGTGAGAACGTGCCGAAAATGACGTTTGAAATCGATCCGGTGACTATTTTTTTAATGCTCTTTAACATTTTGTGTAAATAGTTTCTTCTGAAATTAATTGCAAATGCCTCAAATTTATGTTGAAAAACGATGCTTCCTTTTTTAAGTTATCATAAATCTCATACAATTATATAAAGTACATTCATTGGTTTAAGAGAAAGACTACTTGCGTCGACCTGAATTCAGTTACATCCCTTTAGAACAATGAGTTGTCAAGGAATTGTACAGGCTGGTTCATTTTCGATGGGATTTCAGGGTATCTCAGAAACTACTAAAGATATGATAAATCTGATACCACGTTCTCGAGCTCGATTTTCATGACAAACTCGAATGTCAAATCAGAAAGTTGCTATCTTTATTTGTTTGTGAGTTACAGGGAGTTTCTCGTTATTGTGACACTTTTGAACATGTCTGTATCTCAGCTGTTAAATAAATTACAGTTAAAGTGAAAACTGCTCAAGACTAATTCTTTGGCGTAGAATTGAATGCCGGTATTAGATTTTTAGTAGGTCTTAAGATTCCGGAGTTATGACCCAAAGTTATAATTTTTTAAATGGAAATCGTAGCTGGTTATGACCTAAAAAATTTTAAATGATTTTTCTTTTGCTTTTCAGCAATATACCATATGCTATTGTTATTTTTCCAAACACAGAAGAAACGGGGTGTTTTATATATAAATTCAATCCTTTTTTACATTTTAATATGGCTGGCTATAAAAATACATACAAAACTATAATTCTTACTTTTACAAAACTCATATCTGTTGTGTAAAAATATGACGTTTATTTAAAATATATATTACAGATAAGAAAAGACGGAGTTTTCAAATTTTTATTCCACTTCAAATGAAGTTATAATATTAAACGTAAATTAAACAATAGTAAGTACCTACATCAATAAAAACTTTCAAAATTGATAGCTAAATGTTTAAATTGTCGTCCCTCAACTGTCACACATTTCACGCATCTTCTGGCAACGCTTCGGGTAGCATTCATTAAATGTAAGTATAGATATTTGAAATATTATTAAAAGGGATTTTAAATATAATGTCTTTTAGAAAACCTCAAAGGAAAACGGACGGACTCAAATCAGGTAACCTAGCTGGCCAGCTGATCGGTCCGTTTGTTCCTATCTACCTATTTCCTAAACTTTCGTTAGTATTATATTATCACACGAGTATATGTTGTGCATTTAAAATAAATGTCATATTTTTACAACAGATATGACTTTTGTAAAAGTAAGAATTATAGTTTTATCTGTATTTTCATAGCCGGTCATATTAAAAAGGAAAAAATATATAATTTATATATAAAACGCCCCGTATCTCCCGTGTTTGTAAAAATAACTATAGCATGTGATATATTGCTGAAAAGCGGAAAATATCTCTATTTTTTAGGCCATGGTCAGCTACGATTTCCATTTAAAAAAATATAACTTTGGGTCGTAACTCCGAAATCTTAAGATCTACTAAAAATCTAATATCGGCATTCAATTCTACGCCAAAGAATTAGTCTTGAGCAGTTTTTACTTTAACTCTAACTTATTTAACAGCCGAGATACAGACATGTTAAAAAGTGTCACAATAACGAGAAACGCCCTGTAACTCAAAAACAAATGAAAATAGCAAATTTCTGATCTGACAGTCGAGTTTGCCATGAAAATCGAGCTCGAGAACGTGGTGTCAGATTTATCATATCTTTAGTAGTTTCTGAAATCCCCTGAATTCCCATCGAAAATGGACCTGCCTGTACAGCAAATGAGTTTACTGCCAAGGTAGGGACGGTACTTGTAATAATCTTTTTCTAAAAATAAATATACAAGTAAAGTATACAAGGTGTTAACGAAATAGTACTCAAATTTGAAGAGTCTGTAAAACATGTCGAAATATCATGGAGACCTTAGTAGAGTTTTTGTCAGAGGCGGCCCCTAAGGGAGATACAGCTCCCTGATTTAGTAACAGTTACATCTACAACAACGATCATAAGTACAAAAGGAAAATTAAATAGAAATAGTAATTTTCTCATGGCACAATTTGATACATTTATCTAATTTGCAGTAGGAATTTTCGAGAACGTAATGAATTATTGAAATGGATTTTACTGAAAACGGCTCATGCTATTAAAATCTAACAAGAGTACCTTTTTTATGCAAAATATGATAAATTTTCATAATTTCTGATCAGGAACTAGAAAAAGTTGTGTACAAAAAAAAATTGTTAGATTTGCCCCATGGACCTGAATTTTCTTACGCCCCTGTAACAAATTTTGATTTGTATATTATACCGATTATAAAGCATATAAATAGTAATACAACCCCAAAATTTCGTGATTTAATATTAAACTGTTTTGAAGTTATGCAATAAAAACTGTTTCCTGAGTTACCCCTTCAAGGGGCTATATCTCCCTTAGGGACCGCCACTGACAAAAACTCTACTAAGGTTTTCATCATATTTCGACATGTTTTACATACTCACAAATTTTGAATACTTATTTCGTTAACACCTTGTATATGTAGAAAAGTTTGATAAAATGGAGAATACTGAAAACAAGGCAAATATAAAAAAGAATTCAATGAAAACTGCATGTAAAAACTGCGAATAGTCCCATTACAGAAAGGAAAACAAGGAAAGATACAAAAAAATACAGGTGGGTGAAGAAGACTTTAATTTAAAGGACTTCTGTTTTATTTTTCTGTATTTAAATGATTGGTACCCAGGCAGATGGATAGTGAGGGAACATAATGCTCCAATTCACCGACCACCACGTTCACCTGACTTAAATCTTCTGATTCTTTTTTTATTTCAGAGAGTGAGAGACAATTGTGGGACACGACTGAAGATGCTGTTCACAATTTGCACAGTAAATTTTAATTGTTTGTGTGTTACAGAAAACGTTATTGGATGGTCTTATGAGAGAACAGTCTATTGCAAGTTATTTTGTTTCTGTTGTCAAATAAATTACTTTTAAAATGATTTTTTCAAATTTAATCTAACAAAAAAAATTAATTATCTCAAATCTATTACAAGTGCAAAAATTGTACAAGAGGGAAAAAACTAGATAACATGACCGCTGACAAAATTACGAGCAGGATTGTTCAAGGGAGGGGATTTTTTCACAGTACCGTTAATCCAATTATTAGTCCAAGCATTCTGTCACGGATTAATATTAAATTTGCAGAAATTATTTCCTGGACAAAAAAAAATATGATCGTATAGGAAATTAAATTTTAAATTGAGTTTCTTGTTCTTTAAACTCGATCCAAAATGGCGAACATGGTTAAAAAAATCGCAAAGTTGGAAAAAAACTGTTTTTCTAAAATGACTAAAAAAATATAGCACCGATTGAAAAATTTTAAATGAGAAAGTTGTAGGTTTTAAAAAGATCTATCGACTGATTTTGTGAAAGTATTGATTGCTTTGTTAGTTTTCGAGATGTATCGAAAAAAACGTTAAAAATCTTCTCTTTTCTCTTCTATAACTCGTTTACATTTACGTTCCCATATTTGCTACTTCCTGCAAGCATAGCCCGCGGCAAGCCAAAAAAGTATAACTTAAAAATATTAATAATTTTTTGAGATGTCGATTTTTTGAAAAAAAAGGCGCTCTCAAAAATTGGCTAGATCGTCTCAGCGGATAGCAATACAGTAACGATTTTCGCTTTATTTTCTTCGTAAAAAGTTATATTATCATGTTGTTAAAAAATGTTGACGATTTTATTAATTTTAAGGATCAAAAAATGACTGAAAGAGTTGCGCTTTTTTTGGGTATATTTTTTTGAAATAACTATTTCAATTTTTATTTTACGAAAATGACTATTAAAGAAAGAAACTGCTGGCAATTTTTCACGAATTTAAAGAAAAATGTTTTTCTACGACGTTCTGGAGCCGAGATAATTTTTTTATTTAAAAAAAAATCTCTATAATGCTTGGACTATATGTACTCCGTTTAGTATGTCAATAAAATCTTACGAGACATTTCAGTCATTTGAAAAAAACACATTTTTTTATCAATTTTGATAAACTCTAACGGCTAAGTGAAGTAACTTGGAATAGAGGAAATTTTAGTCAAATCTGTATGTTTTTAATCCCATGAATCTGTCAGTTTAAAACGTCCTTCAGCACCTAACTAAAGGGAAATAAATTTTCGAAATACAATTCGATGCGGACTTGTTTATATTCACTTGTATGACCTGATAACTACTTGACGCATGTAATTGTTTTCTTAAATCTGTGAATATACCTTACAAATGACAGTATCACAGACATACTCGATCTTGCTTGATTTCTACAAGTTATCGGATACCATCAACTACAGTGTGATAAAAAAAACGGATATAGCGTTAGAGATAATTGTAAACAAGACGAACAACGCTACTAAATCCACTTACATAGGATATCATGGGCACATTGAAGGCTGCTGCCATAAACGCCTCGTGCTCGCAGGTCTCCTGCGGTCCAACGTACACAGAAACGTTCTTAGTCCACAGGTCGGCGGTCTTCTGCACGCTGATGATCTCCTCGCCGTACGTCTCGGCGACTATAAACTCCAGCTTATGGCCCCTCTTCGCCAATGGGCCCCGGTTGACCTCCTCCACGGCTAAGGATATGGCGCCGGAAATCGTTAGGCCTGGACGCGGATACTCAAGGTCGCCTGCAAAGGATAACGTTTTTTTTTAATACAAAACTTTTTTAAATGTATTAATTAATATCTATGCATCCTCTTTCCTGATACGATACGACAAAATTGAAGCAGAATAGTAATTTGATTGAACAATATTTTCAATAATCAATTGGACCGCTGAAACTGCAAAATTCAAAATTGTTGAAACTTATTGAGAACCCCTGGAATCGTTCCCGATTAACATGTTACATAAAAGAATTCATACACTCCATCTTTTCTCTTTTAATTAAAAGAAATAATCAGCACCTAATCAGAACTAAATAATTATCATTCTAATTCTGTTAAGTGATAATTTGAGGGTGCCACAGGGCTCTATTTTGGGTCTGATCTATTAACATTAATCGTACAATTACCATTTCCAGGAATTTCTCAGAATAGAACTTCATGTAACAAAAGTAGGTAGCATTTTCAGATCAAGTAAATTTGTGTTTTTATTTGAATATTTTAACTTATACAGGGTGATTTTTAAGTTGATACTTTCCTTTTAACACTGTTTAGAATGCAAGAAAATAAGAAAATTTTTCAAATAAAATTATGTCCGAAAATGCTTTGTTTCCGAGACACAGGGTGTTAAAGTTTTAAGGAAAAAATGCCTTTTTTATCATAACTTTCCTACCACTCCAGATATTTCCACAAAATTTGGTACACTTCTTTTGACCATTAAATTACATTTTTTGATGGAAAACTTTTTAAAAAATTTCTACCAGTGGCGTTCGAACAGGATTTGTATTGAATTGTTTTAAAGAAAAAAAAAAGTACGCCACTGCTTTTTCTTAAAATGAATATTATGTTTGTAATACTGATTTACTTTGGAGTTAATTTGGTCTCTTGATATTTGTTCATATGACGAACGGTTTTTGTTTAAAGAAATAAAAGCCATTTTGATGCATGGCAAAATCGCTAAAATCTGATATGGTGTTTTGTATGTAAAATTCGTTTTTGACTAATTTGTATTGTATGTACCAGTGGTGTTAGGTTTTTGACTGTGTAAGAGGTTCCTAAAAGAAACAGCTTTTTTATGTAACTTTTTATTTATTAACTGTAAACCAAACGAGATACGTACACATTTTTTTCATTACATTTTAATTGTAGTAATGTAAGTAATTGGCCTTACTTTAATACAAATTAGTCAAAAACGAATTTTACATACAAAACACCATATCAGATTTTAGCGATTTTGCCATGCATCAAAATGGCTTTTATTTCTTTAAACGAAAACCATTCGTCGTATGAACAAATATCAAGACACCAAATTAACTCCAAAGTAAATCAGTATTACAAACATAATATTGATTTTAAGAAAAAGCAGTGGCGTACTTTTTTTGTTTAAAACAATTCAATACAAATCCTGTTCGAACGCCACTGGTAGAAATTTTTTGAAAAGTTTTACATCAAAAAATGTAATTTAATGGTCAAAAGAAGTGTACCAAATTTTGTGGAAATATCTGGAGTGGTACGAAAGTTATGATAAAAAAGGCATTTTTTCCTTAAAACTTTAACACCCTGTATCTCGGAAACGAAGCATTTTCGGACATAATTTTATTTGAAAATTTTTCTTATTTTCTTGAATTCTATACAGTGTTAAAAGGAAAGTATCAACTTAAAAATCACCCTGTATATTTAATATGGTCACAATATACCGATTGATGGAAGAAATAGCCATAAATTTTACAGGTTAGATAGCCATATTTATAAAACGCAATCATTTCAACTTTACTGACTAGTTCTGTGGTGACTATTCGACAAACATTTCCTCTACGTCCTACCCCTTCAACATTTAAAATTCCACATATATAAAAAATGGATACCTTCGCTCGGTTTTTATGAAAAAAAATATTACTTTCTAAAGAAGGAGGAAATGGAAGTTAGAAAACGTTCAACAAAGGGAAATAGGGTAGAGTATTGCTAACGTCAGGGAAACATATGGAGCAGCTTAGAGAAGAGGAAAAATTATTAAAAGAGAAATAAATTGAAAGATTTAAAATCCTATAGAATAACTTTATATGAATAACAGAAGAGGAACAGTAGTATAGACGGAGATGATCTTGTACTGAATACAGATACAGGTAATAGGAAAAATTGACATGAAATAAAGAATCTCATCCGCTTTTAATACGCATACCAAATCTCTAAAATTGCCTAAATTATGTAAAAAGAACACTATTTATTATCGAAAGCATAACTAACAAGATATTTTCAAATTCTAAATTTCACTTCTGCCTCGAAGTCAGATAATATAACGATGGAAAATGTCAAGGCAGCTGGCGTTGTATTTCATTCAAAGTATTCATTACAAATATTTCTCAAACTTCCTCCAAAGTTTAGACTGCTTTCACATGCCTTCATACACAGAGACCAGTACGAGGTCCCTACATCTACAGAGCTGGTTTATCATTCGTTATTTTGTTAATTACGTACAACTTGCTTTCGAAACATATTAAATCCCCTTTAATTTCCCCTGTCAACCACCAACACCCCCGACAAACACTGAATTCCAGTTCATGTACTTCATCGTTGCTGTGACGGCTTGGTAAGCCTTTTCTTGTTATTAATCCACGACTGATCTGTCTCTTGTTAAATCCACCCCCTCAAATGCTTGCAGATGCAAGAGAGGGACAGAACAAAACAACAATAACAACAACAACAACCACAACAAAGACAATAAAAACAACAACACCAACAATAACAACAATAGCAACAATGAAAATAGCTTAAATAGCTGCCATAGATATAGTAAAAATTATTTCAAAATATAGCAGCATTAAAACTAATTAGACATGTGTAACTTCTGCAACCAAAAGAGAAGAAAAAAGAAAGGAAGGTTGATTAAAAAGGAAGATTTTACTGCAGCTATAACCGTCCTTCTACGATCAACTCTGGGCATAAGGACGAAATGGCTAATGAAATATTTAATGACGTGATTGGATGTTTAATTTGTTTTGTGAGCTTGTTTTTTTCAGTGTATCGCTGTTTTAACTTCTAAAAATAAAATTGCCTTAATTGCTAATTAAAATTGAACTGGTGGATTCCATTAAAATGTTGAAACTTCTTTTGCAAAAGGTAGAAAACAATTAAATTTAATCCGTGATAAAATATTTACGCTTCGATTTGTATAAAACAGGTAAAGGTAGCTGGGGAGGTATTTACGAAAGCAAACTTTATACGAGTACTTAGTTTACAAAATACATTCAGTAGAACTTGGGAACTTGAATTGTTATGTAGTTATTAATTAATTATATACTCAGTATAATGGAATTATGAAATTATCATTGAATTAGACACCGTTATGCTATATCCAGATTTATGAAATTTTTCTTTAAAATTTATAACCAAGTATATTAAAGCATACAGGTAAATCACTTTGCCAGGTGGCAAGACGAGGCTTAGAATTCACGCTAGTTGTGGTAGAGTCAAAGCAGCTATCAGGGGTTCCTCACGGGTCTAATCTTAGACCCCTCTTATTTTCGATATTCATTAATGACTTTACAAAAATTATTAAATGCAACAAGCTGTAGTTATTCAGGAAAAAGTGTATCAATTATATTTTAGTTATTCATTAAACCATAAGTGACTCGTAGTCACAATATTCTTTATAAAATCACCCAATATACAAGATGGCTTACAATTTGAACAGTATTTCCTATCATTTTAATTTTTTATCTGTTGCATCTGTAGATGTATAGGAAATAATTAGCTTTCTTTTTTCTCCTTCCCAGTTTTCTAGTAGGTATTGTTGTTAATAACTTATAAACTTGCAATACCTACTTAATTCTATAATTTTTAGATAATATTTATGTAATTCCATAAGATAACCCTCACTAAAAAAAGTTTAAAATATTTAAAATAGGGAGATTTCTAGGAAGTTTTGTCAAGAGTATCTTATTTAGAACACACACTATAATAATACAGGGTGATTCAGTCATAATGTCATTAATTTTAACCACGTGTTGAGAAGGCATAATAAAGACAGAAAATCAAAAAAAAAAAATTACCCGACCTTTTAAAAAATAAGCAAATTATCCCTTAACTCCCGTTAATCCGGCGCCCTACTTCACAACAGGCAACACGCCGGCGGACTATAGAGTGTTAGAAGGTTGAAGCGAAACAGCTGATATCCCCAGTAGTCTTGAATTTTGCAATTGGTTTTAAAATCATAGTGCAGCAGATCCCAACTTTATTTAGAAAGTGCTATGGACAGATGAGTGTTTTTACTTAAGTCTCACAATGAGGTATACGTACTACAAACTGAATAATTAATTGAATGTGATACAACAATATTAAAAATACTAACCTAACACTCGGAAACAATTATCGTTATACACTTGTTTTTATTAACAAATAAATAATACTTGTTAATATTTAAAATTTAAAAAAATGTCTTATTCATTCATGTGTCTAGGTAAAAAGCTCTGTTTTTTCTATGTCGTTCACAACGGATTAAAAACGCATTAAAAGCTAGGTTAATAACCGCATATTATGGTAGGTCAAGATTCACTCTCGATAAATCTTTATGGGTCAGCGTCTAGGAGCAGTCCGAAAAAGGATTTAAATAATAATTTGAAAATATATTTTTTTCAGCGTAAATATGCATTTTAACATTTTTTTCCTCTTTTAATTTCTTCCCCTAAAATTAATGACATTATGAATGAATCACCCTGTATATAGTGTATCCACGGATGGAGTTGAAACGAGGGAAAACTTTTTATTTTTTGAAAAAAGTTATTCTGTTAAAAAACTCGCCTTTGTTCAAACGAAGAACATTATTTTAAATAAGCAAACATACAGAAATAGAAATATATTTTCATTTTTTTTAATTCTATTTGTGATAACGATTTTATTTTCTGTTGGACAAGTAAATTGCATTTGATTTGATTCTATAAAAATGTAAGACCATCCTGAACTCGAGCAAAATGCAGGCGCGGATCCAAGGGGGGGGGGCGATGGGGGCGATCGCCTCCAAACGATCCGAAAAAAAATGAAAGTTCAAAGAGAATAAATTAATAAAGAACATCTCAGTTTTTTGACTGTATAACTTTTTTTTAAGTAAAATAAACGAATAAGGATTATAAATTTTGTTTCAGTTTTCTTGATGACTGCACTGGAAAAAGTATATGTGGCGTGGCATCAGTTTAGTTGTTAGGATTCATAACTTACCTGGACGTCTTTGGGAACCAGTAAGGTACCCGATGGTGAAGGTCTCTGTGTGAGTTCGCGGAAGATACGTCGTCAACAGGACGAACAATTGAAGCATCGCTTAAATCGATCTGGAAAAAGAAACCTTTATTTAAATACACATATTTAAACCCTTTGTTTATAGACACAAAATATATTCTCGGATTAATTGAATTTATATACATGTAGCTACATAAATAAAACAGATCCATCCATTTAAATTCGCCATTAAATTCTTTTTGCCGTGGCAGACAGCATATTGGATTTCGCGTAACAGGATTATATATCGGAGTCTGGATTATCTGGGTGAAAATTGTATTTTTATTCACATATGAGGAGAATAACCCATCTGTGGCAAACATTTAACTTATTTGCGCTTGGAATTTTAATATTAAGCGGTAATATTTCACATTCATGCTCGAGTGCTACGATGTTCCATATCAAACGTAAGCAAATAGGATACAAACGTATATGGCACGCCATGTTTTAAGATTTAAAACGGACTTTTATCAAAATGGAAAGTGTATTTACTCAAGAGCTTTCGCTGAAATATTGTCGTAGGTTGTAGGTTATCTCGCTGGAAAATACAGAACAGAATTCCGTCAATAGCAGTAGTTTGCAATAGTTTGATGGAAAACTTTCATCTTTAACAATGAATGTTACACCTCGTTTAAAACGACTTAAATTTATTTATTCCAGTGATCGAAGAGATTAAGATTAAGATTAAACAATGTTCTTCGATATGATAGAGATTTAGGTATGAAAAAATATCCAACCCCATAGACAAATCTAATTTTCAAAAAAAAAAAGAAAAAATTATTTTTAATTTTTTTATTTATCTAACATTTTTTGATGAACAAAAAAATAGATTTTTGCGAAAAGAATATTGAATTTAAAAAAAATATAAAATATACAAAATTTTTTCCTTTAATTGATTTTTAGTAAAATAGTTTTATTTATTCGTATCACAATGAAATAAAAATCGCAGCGGTTTGAACTCTCGAGGGTTTCTTTAGGATCTTTGAGTTTAAAAAATAACCTAAAATATCCTTAATATAGGTATTCATTATTTGTATTGTTAGTTATCTCAAGTAGAGAAAATTATTAGTCGCAATTTTTCTTTTTCTGAATCAAGCTTCTTGTATCGAATTTTTTTTAATAAAAAAGGATAATATCGTCTCATAGAGGATACTCTGAAGTTTTCAAAACCGTTTTAAGATTTTCTGTATACGATCATTAGTTTCAGAATAATTAAAAATTAAAAAGGATATATCAAACTGAAAGAGCTGAAAGCGAAAGTTTTAAAAAGTTTTTCCGCTGGATTTCTTAAAGGTAACTAGCGACAAAAACTTTACCTTTGAGATCCTGAAACAACAAACTTAAATGTTAAATTGTATTTATTTTTTTGCTCTGCGACCATTTTTGCCAAGATACAACCTTTTGAAAATTACGTAAAAATTTAGGATTTTTTTTCCATTAATTTTTATAACTAGTGTATTTGAATTAACGTAATATACCTTTAAAATACAGTAAACAATACAAGAGCTAATAATAACATTTTTTTTAATTTAAGTTTTCAAATACTCATTTGTGGAAATAAAATGCCCACCAGGATCATCAGACCTCAGTCCTTGTTCTTTCATTTTCTGTATTATCTTATAGGGTTCAAATACTTGCAACTGATGAACTGATACTACAGAAATACTTTGAAACCTGTTTAAGAATTGCTTTTTGTAATTGAAAAACAAATTAAATTTCTAATAACAAAACCACAATGCAACGTATATTATTTTTAATCTTTGATTGGTCATCTCATCAAGTGTTTTAGGAAGTGTTGGCCCTAGAAGTAAGATCAAGATGGCTGTAGCCAAATAATTTTTATATTTTCTTTCACTTTTTTCTTTCGTGCTGCATTCGAGGCCAACTAGGTTCATTGAAAAATTGTATTCTTCAATAATTTCCTACATTAATTAATTACGGACAATACAACGGGTTTTATTTTCTTACTCAAAAACGGCGTATCGCAGGACAAAAATAATTTCAAATATAATTTTATTTGGGAAAAATTGAAAATATTAATTAATTTCCTTGTTATTTTTCCTAAAATTTTATAAGTAAGACATCATGAAAATAATGTCAACACGTACGACATTTGACAGGACAAATAATCTGCTGCATGAACTCATTTGAAAATACCACTTCTGTAACAGCAATTTCGAAGAACTGTGCTCTGCCGCTACCAATCCTGCTCCACTAACGTTAATTGAAAATGGCTCCTTAATCCAATTTTTGCTTGAACTGGAAACTGTAAAATACGACCGGAAACCGTTCTACAAATCATTCAAGTGCCTCCTGATATCTACTACGTAATATAAAGTACTTGCAGACTAAGATTAAGGGCGCCGTTCTCACAAAAGAGTGTGTTCTACAAAGACAAAAGATTTTAAGCATTGAACTATTCACGGATTACTAAATAACAATAAGTTTATGCGGTGACAATGAGAGGCAATTGAAAATAACGAATAAAAAGCAACAAAAAACTATCCTTTTCCGTTAAGAGTCTGTTCTCTGTACACTGCTAAGGTATCGCTGCGGGGTCGGGTGCACGGGCGTTACAGCTGGAGGCGGAGACTATCGCTCTCCCACTACGATGATTTTACAGTGGACGTATTTAGATTGATTTAAACGAGCCACTAACGTTACAATTTTTATTTCAATAATTGTGTCAATTTAAAATTAATACAATTATTGTACCGCAATTGTACAAACAAATTTCATCGCAATACAAAATTGAATAACCGACATCCCGTGGACGTCAATTTAACGCTCCTTCTCTTTTTTGGTTTTATGAGAAAAAGTTATTCTTGATGAAGAGTTCTGCATGGCCTAATATTCAAAATGGAATAATCAGATTTCAATTTTTTTCAGTCGTATACGAGGTTTGTCGAAAAATGTAAATTTTGCTCAAGAGTAAAGTACCTTTATTTTTTAAAATATCGACAATCGTTATTAAAAGTTGATCTAAATAGAAAACTACGGTCAGATATCCAATATTATCCATTTACCATTAAAAAAAAAACAGATTTTGTTATTTTTACAAACTCTTCTCCGTATTGATAATTTACGTCTAGAGATAGACATTAAATCTAACAGGTAAGGTAGTCGGATTTTTGTAATTTTTGATATTTATGGTACGTGTAGTTTGGACGTTGAGTAAGAATTTTTCGAAGTACGATGCAACGTTCATAATTTACCGAGGTAATTGATTTTGAAGTTTTACCTTACAGCTAAAACCATTAGATGTGACACATTCTTTAACTGGGAGCGTGGCCTAATAGGTAGCGTTCGGAACTGACAGTCGCGAGATCGCTGGTTCGAGTCCGTCGCGTGATTTTTTCTTTCATAACGCAACATGGTATTTTATTATTTTTTCATCTCGAAAATTATGAATAAACGAAATATTTAATAAATACTTATGTATATGTAGGAATATTCTTCAAATATTTCATTAAAAAGCACAATTGGTTGATAAACAATATTTATTATGAACTGACAATAAGATTTCATTAAAAAAAAAACAAACGAGGTCAGGTAGGATGTTCTTTTATTTTATATTTATGTTACTATTTGACATTTTACGCAGTGTGGCACGAGCCAGAATAGTAGTTATCATAAAAAAATGGGAAGCAGAAATTTTTTAAGCATCTAGCTTCCTTTCTTTTTCTTTTTCCGATCTCGAAAATTATGAACAAACGAAATATTATGAGAACTGTATGTAGGAATATTCTTCAAATGTTTAATTAACATTTTGAGCTAGGTTGTGTGGGTCGTCCACCGTGTTTAAAAAAACACACTTGCTCGGGCATAAAAAGTTTCTGCTTCCCATGTTTCTATGATAACTATCATTCTGGTTTATGCCACACTGCGTCAAATGTCAAATACTAAAAATAAAATAAAAAATCTACTTGACCTGGTTTGTTCTTTTTAAAGAAACTTTATTGTTAATTCATAATAAATATTATTTATCAACCAATTGTGCATTTTAATGAAATATTTGAAGAATATTCCTGCATATACATAAGTGTTTATTATAATATTTCGTTTGTTCATAATTTTCGAGATGAAAAAAATAATAAAAAACTATATGGGGCGTTTTGAAAAAAAAAAAATGTCACGCGACGGACTCGAACCAGTTATCTTGTGACTCAGTCCCCAACGCTACCAATTACGCCACGCTCCCAGTTGAACAATGTGTCACATCTAGTGGATTTAGCTGTCAGGTAAAACTTCAAAATCGATTATCTGGGTAATTTACGAACGTTGCGTCGAACTACTTCGAAAAATTCTTATTCAAGGTCCAAACTACACGTACCATAAATATCAAAAATTAAAAAATCCGACTACCTTACCTTCTCCTGTAAGATGCACTGACAAACCAATGGAATTTTTGATAGCAAACGTCAAAACGCTAGTTACAATTTATAAAATACAAGAAATGGCAGCTCTGTTAACTTCTTAGGAGAAAATTTAAATAGTTTTGATTGTGGGAGATGATTATAAAACTCATCAAGAAGCGGCAGTGATTTTTAATAACAGGCATCCGAATAGAAATCTCGTATACGAGAATAAGTTCAATATGAAAATAATTAAAAATCGTCAATACTCATCAACGAGCACTCGATCATAAATGAGTTATTTCACTAGTATGACCAGGTGCATTTGGAAACAAAAAACGTATACTTTCTCAAGAAAAACGGCAAAAAACGAAAACGGGATTATTGTCGGCATTTCCTTTAATAAACATGGGCTGGGATGGAAACGCCGAAATGTTGTACTGTATAAATTAAATATATTATTACTATTAAAAATTTCATTGTTACCGCTGATAGTGCAGTAAAAACATTTATTAAAAAATACATGTTTTAGTTTTTCGCTAGAAATAACGTTGCCTGGTTGTGCCGTACAACTTTTAACTCACGATAGATTTTATATCAATCTCTGATATAATATCTCATTGGATGCAAAAACTTCTACCAATGAAAATAAAAGAATCGAACCTCGCAAGATCGATTAATTCAA